ATTCAAGTTGACTACCTTCTCAGCCGTGTTAAACTTCCATGAGTAGATTGCCCACCAAGAAGCGGATCAACCTTGCCCTCCAGCTGTGGTGCAGCTTCTGGTAGTCTTGGCCTTGGCCATGGGGTGAAGAGGAACCCATCTCTGGAAGCACTATGAATCAGGGTGGGCCAAATCCTGGAGAATAGCAGATAGCCATGTCCAGCTCAGAAGGTCAGGGCTGGTCCTCCCATATCTCTCCTCCTTCGGACAGTGGCAGTTAGACTCTTTCCAGGATAGGTGAATAAAAAGAAAGAGCCATTCCTAAAATCATAAAATAAATTGCTCCATAGGAATGAATGGTCATGCCTCAATTCAGTGAATGGGTCCTGAAGTGCAGGATCGGCCTGCCATGTAGTCTCAACCCCATCTCCTGTAGGCACTCTTGCATGTGGTGGGAAATGTCGGAGTTAACGTGCTCAACATGATGCTCCTCATAGCTTTGCTCCGAGGAGTCTCGAAAATGCAGGCTGTTGTCTTGATCATAATACTGAGTTTATGAGGATCTGTGGGCAGAGAATAATTAGCTGCCCAAGGAAAGTATGGGGCTTAACATGCTGGGTTTTGGCTGGAGGGGCCCAACTTACGGAACTCGCTCCCCAGAGAGGTCTGCCTGGCGCCGTCGTTATTTGTTTTTTGGCACCAGGCCAAGACCTTTTTATTGAAATGTTATTTTAACTGTTGATTTAGTGATTTTAAATCTTTTGCCAGGATGTCTCCAGTATTTTATGTATTTTGTACAGAAATATATTTATTTATGCGTTGGAAGCCGCCCCGAGGCTTATGCGAATGGGGCGGCATACAAGTTTTCCAAACAAACAAACAAACAAACTGTATGGGAAAGAAGAAGAGGGGGTGGAACTTTTCCTCAAGCAGGATTCAACGACCAGCTTGCGATTTCCCAGGTGTTTTTCCCTCACAGCATCAGGGAGAAGCACTGCGCTTCTGTGATGTTTGCAGCCAAGTGCAGAAGAAATGTGGAGGCCTGAAGGGGTAGCAGTCGATGTGATTATCCATGCTGGTCAAAACATCCCAGTCCTTTGCCCATGCATGTTGTGGTACCATTTTGCCTCTGGATAAGAGTAGTTCCTCTGCCCCGGACAGTGAGTACCCCATCTCTCGTGGATGGAGATCCTGTAAGAGGCAAGAAGGACAGCGGAAGGCTGCCCCTTCCCTGGTCCTTGGAATATATGCACCATCCTTCCGCATCCCTTCCACCTTGTTGCAGTGGGGGATACCCATGGATATGAGCCCCGTTATTTAACATGGATGTGAACACTTTCGGAGCTCTTCTGGCTGCCCTGCAGCTTTGCTTCCTGTTGACACTGCACTGTCCTTCAGGAATTTTCTGGATCACAATAACCTGCTCAGGCCTTGGGAAATGCTGACTTCCAGAATTCTCAAGCCAACAGTCCTCTGAAGAGTTAGAATCACAAAAGGGATTCCAGTACCAACTGCCAGTTTCCAAAGAAACCAGAAAACCCTACACTGTGTGTGCGTCGTATATCCTTCTCTCTTTTCTGTTCATGTATAGATCGCCAGTATGACAAAAAAGCATTTGAAAAAAAGCAATTGATGTGATCAGCTTGTTAGGTGATCAGGTGAAAAATGCTTAATTGGATCTGAACTGGTATTGTCCTTTGCAAAAAGATGCCTGTGCAGAAAAGGCACTTCAGCTAATATTCTAATGCAGTTTGAAAGAAAGCCCAGGTTGCGTCCGGATGGGTCCTTTATTGTGGAATTGCTCCGCCTTGTTTGCAGAATGTTACTGAGGATGTCAATGTTGCTGCAATCCATTTGTAATCAGCAGCAAATATCTACAGATTTATCCAGTGCTGCAAAAATGGGATATGGAGGGAAGAGTGGAAAAGCCATGCAATTTTTTAACCATGTGGACAGAAAAATATGCAATAATGACATGCAGGAAGGAATTGTTGCTACAACGGTGCCTGATGCATTAGCCCTCCTTTTTCTCTGGCTTGCAGAGCCTGGTTTATGCCTTATAAAGCAAGTTATTTCTCCTTTCCAAAGTTTCTCTAAGTTTATAAAGTCAACTTTATATAAAATATATATTTTTTTTTATTTATGATCTAACTTTATAGCCTTCCCTTTACCTTATGATCCCAGGGCTGGGTATATATGCAGTGACAAACAATATAAAGCACCCAATAAGCCTTTATCTACAGCTCCTTTCAAATAATAATCCAAAAGCTTCATCCATTTTGAAAGGCCTGGCTAAAAAAAATCTATCTTGACTTGCTGATGGCACACTTACAATGAGGGCATTGTTGTTTATTGTTGATGTTCATAACAACAGCAATAATAGCAACTCTCTCATACACTCACTCACTCACTTTGAAGACATCCACAAAAGCAGTATGCTGAGAATATGCTGAGAAGAGACCACTTCTCATTGTATGGAAGCAGGTCAAGAACGGAAACCAGAGAAAACGGCCTCTCAGCTGGGATACGTCTTCAGTGTGGGAGGAACATAGAAAGATGAACACACTGCCAGTGCTAGATCCAAACACCCCAAGGATTAACAAGTCAATGAGCATTGCATTTTTAGTTTAGAGCAGAGGAGCAGTGACTGGTGGTATTGGGTGCTGCCTGAATACCCGGAGACACCTTAGGACATGCGAGAAAATGTGACTATGCTGGGCCAGAAGCATTGGTCTGTGGAAGTCGAAGGCAGAGCCCCAACAAGAGGAGCAGATCAGAAGAAAAGAAGGGGGTCTGGGAAGGGTTCACAGTAAGGGGAAGATCCAGATGAGGAAAGAGTTGAGGGGAGGTATGGAAGCCCAGAATCAAGGGCCGAGGGGAGGAAGAGACACGGGCCAGAGTGCCAGAGGCAAGGTAGAGCTGACTCTTCAGCACTGGTTAGGCCTCACCTGTGTCCAGTTCTGGGCACCACAGTTTAAGAAAAATGCAGACAAGCTGGAAAGGTTTCAAAGGAGGGTTTCCAGCATGATCCAGGCACTGGAAGCAAAGCCCTGTGGAGAAAAATGGGAAGAACTGGGCATGTTCTGCCTCAGGAAGAGAAGACTGGGAGGAGATGGGATAGCGCTCTTCAAGGACTTAAAAAGCTGCCACACAGAAGAGGGCCAGGATCTCTTCTTGGTCACCCCAGTGGACATGGAATGGCAGGTGCAAGTTACACCAAGCCAGACCCTCGCTAGAGAGCAGGAGAAATCTCCTGACTGTCAGAGCAGTATGACAGTCAGTGGAACCAGCTGCCTAGGGAGGCTGTGGGCCCCCCCAAGCCAGAGGCAGTCAAGATGCAGCTGGACAGTCGCCTGAGAGCAAGAGTCCTGCCCTGGGCAGGGGCTGGGCCTGGTGGCCCTCTGGCCCCTTCCAGCTCTACTCTTCTATGATCCTATGAGTCATCTATTCCAGCTTCCTCTGACTGGTGTGCCCCAGTCTGGTAGATGAATGCATCAGGAGAGGGCTGGGCTGGGCTGGGCAGCCAAGCCTCTGTCCTCGGGTTTGGAGCAGCCAGCCAAACCTGTAGCCCAGGCCTGGAAGAAATTTGCTCCATCACATCCCTTTGAAAATACACTGCCCGATAAGTGTGCTTAGCGTGGGAGCAGGAAACCACTTGCAGCCTGTGGGCCAAATAAACAGGGCAGGAGCCTGGTGCTTTACAGACTCTCCTTGGCAAACCATCTTGCAAGGATGTTTTTGCACTGCCAAGGAGGTAAGCTGTGGGTCCCTCTTCTAGTTTTGCAGGAACTCAAAGGCTCTCGGTCATCAAGGCTTGGCTTGCCGAGCCTCCCAGGTTCAACTTCCCGCATCTCCAGATGCATCAAGAAAGGCTTTGATCTGAGCCTGGAGAGTTTCTGCCAGGGAAGTCTAATAATGCTGAGCTGGATGAACCTCCCATTATGCAGTCTGATGTCCAGCCTCTCACGCGAGCCCTGCAGCGGAGCTGCAAGGCGGCGGGAGCCAACGGGTAGGAGCAAGTGGCCAGCCAGGGTAGCTGGCCAAGCAGGCAAGGGGGCGGCCAGCTCCCTTGCCAAGCAAGCCAGCCGGCCAGCTAGGCAGGCAGGAGTGGTGGGAGTGCGCAGGTGGGTGGTGGCAGCAGCAGCAACTGCCCTGCGGTCTCACCTGCTTGGTGCTACCAAACCCTCTCCTGCTCAGAGACCATGTGAATGCCTTCGAAGCTACCTTGTGGACAGTGGCAAAATGCACCAGGCAGGGCCTGCTTGCTTGGTTTGTGGCAACTTCCTACATGCCCACACATGCAGCGATCGCGTGCACCGCTAACCCCTCTCATCCCCCAGATTAGGGAAAGATCACCAGGTAGTAACAGACAGAGCCTTCTCCACGGAGGCGGCCAGACTTTGGAGTGCCTTCCCAAGGGGCGTGCTGGGTATCAATTTTACCAAACTTTGGAGCTGGACTAGGAGCCTCCTGTTAACTGGGGCACTGGTGATTCATTTGTGACTATTGCAATAATCCTTGTAATCCCCATTCCCGTTTGATTGGTCGCACCCGTGAATTTATGGTGGTGTTGTCTTAATCTTGTCATTACCCACCCTGGGATTTTATGAAGGACAAGCTACAAATGGAATTAAATAAGGTGTTCTGCCACATGAGTGCATTGAACCTCGGATCAATCCTTCTTTGTCAGTGCAATGCATTGTAGACTTGAAGTACTAGTGAGTGTTGTACTGGCAACAACACTCTGAATTATACAGTTGAACAGTTGTACCATTGAAGTGCTCAGGGGTTCACCCTCACTCAGATGCATGCAAAGAGAGAGAAATATTTATTCTTCTCATATGCCAATAAGCAGCTGATATGAGCCATGTAACTCGCCACTCCAAACAACAAACAACCACAAGATTTTTATAAGAAAAGCTTGTACACCAGCAGATTGTAAAATGTGAAATGTGTCAAGATGAATGCCAGCCTCCGTCGCTTTCATTCCCCAGCTTTCATCCTTCTGCTTGTCTCCGCAGGAGGCAAAGGGCTCCCGGGACCAACAAGCCCCAGCAACACACCGAGCATCAGCAAGGCACGGCCAAACACAACAGGGAACACCAGAAACCCTCCCAGGCAGGCCAAGCCCCACACCCTTCGGGGCGGACCGGCCACCACGGCTACAGCCAAAACCGGCGGTGGCACCATAACCAGAAGCACGTGCCCAATGACAAAGAGATGCACAGAAATGCCAAAGAGACTGAGAACCTGAAGATCGAGGACGCCCCCGTCTGCACGGTCCACATCCCCCTCGAGATGCACCGCAGCAGTGAAGCTGCCGAGCGGCAGTCCCCGCAGTACATCCAGGACCCCGAGAACAAGCGGAAAGACAGCATCCACGATCGGATAAGCGAGAGGCCCAAGATCAACTTGCTGCAGTCTTCCAAAGACAGACTACGCAGGAGACTAAAAGAGAAGGTACCTCCTTTTCATTGCACCCCTCCATGGTTACGAAGGGGTAGCCTTGTGTGCGGCAGTCTTCTGGGAAAGGGGTAAGTGGCCCGGGGAAAGGACCGGGCGAACTTCCCTTGCCCCCTCCCCGGTATCTGGAAGACTCAGCCAAACCCTCGCCGATGGCGAACCTCTTGCAGAGCAAGTGTGCTTAGGGCACGTCCCAGTTTTGCTTTGTAGCCACGCGAAGGCTGGACATGTCCTTTTCCGTCTGGGCACTGAAAGAAGCTGGTAGCCCAAGGGTAACATGACACACTGCAAGCACTCTGAGCAGAAACTGCCCGGGAGGAGCCCACGTTCCTATAGCAAAGCCATTTCTGAAGGTTGTGTCCTAAGGCACAAGTTCTGGCATCCGTTTTAATAGATTTTCCTTCTTGGAAGTACCAGGGTTCCATTTGTGCATTGCTTCCATTGTGTGATGCTTTTTCTCCTGGGATGCTCTGCACACACATCTGTAGTTTTGCACTGTGAGCCACGCGAGTGAAAACATTTCTCAGAGCACAGTCTAGATGTTCCGGTTTTGCCACAAATTTCCTGCTGCTGGATCCACGTTTTTCTCCTTTATCCTGTCAGTGTCTTTTATATTCACATTTTAGTCTTTGGAACTCAGGGGAGATTGTGCTTTATGCCACTTGGGTGGATCAAGCAGAAGAGCAAGAATACCATAAGCCCCAGCTCAGAAATCTTGGACACTCAGCTATAGGAAGCAACACGCTTTTCGTCTGCCAGCTTCCTTTATCGTTTTAACTGCTGGGCAGAGAGTGTTGGGTGCAGTTTTGTTTCTGCAGTTCAGGCTTGGACTTGTGGAATTCAAGGAGAACTGTTTCCTGCAGCAAAGAGTCTTTTGGCCTCTTTTGCTTCCCAGCTAGGCTGAATGCATAGGGCATGTGACAGGCAGAGGTTCAACAGGTATGACTGTCCACAGCCTATCAGTATGTTCTTCGGATAATGGCATGCTTTTAATTTCTGTCACGTGGCCGTTAAAAGCACAGGACTTCCATCCAGAAAAAAGAGGACCCTTTGGGCTAAAGGTTTTTGGACTCTGAGACCTCTCCCAAAGTTGCTCTGGAATCGGCCTGTCTTTGGTTGTTGTGGTTCCTTGAGAGTTCCTTTCCCAAAGGCACTGGATGGAGCTCCACTTCTGAAACTAAGCAGCTCTGAGCCTGGCTGTTACCTAGACAGAACACCTGTGACCCTGGTACATTGCTGTGAACTCCTGGGCGGAAGAGTGGGTGCAAACCCACATGATAAACAAGCAGGCCCTACAGTGAAGTGTTGCCATGTGTGCATGTTTGGGGGGGGGTGGAATTCCTGTTCACAGCCCCCAACTCTCCGTTCCATCCCCTTCCCACCCAGTTTTCTGGGGGCTTCCCCCAACACCTCTGTGCCATGAGCCCTCAGCGCATGCCGTCCTCAGTGGGCTGCTTAGGGTCCTTCGTACCACAGCAAGCAGTTTGTTCTTCAGAGATTGCACTTCTGCAAACTGTAGGGTCCCCGTGAACCCGTGGAAACCTCCCCCTTGTTCTGGTTCTATAAACGCCAGCACTCACCTCTGAGCATCAGAAATAGAGAGAGGCAGCAGGACCTGCAAATGCATATCCGGTGTAGAACTCAGAAATGGGGAACCTATAACAGAACCTAGCATGAATGCTTCTGTCCATGGCTCTAGCCAGTTATGTCCACCACACCCAGTTTTCCGTTCCCCCACCTCCCCAACAGCCATCCTTCTGTGCCACTGGGTGTACTCATCCTTGTTTTGGTACTTCTGAAGTGGGGGACTGGACCAACGAGTGCTGATCCCAACTAACAATGCGATTCCCCCCATTGATTTCAATAGACAGCTCCCATTTCAGTCCCTGGGGTACTGTGATTTGGTGAAAGCTAAATCACCAAAATTCCTCGGTTAAGGAGGTAAGGTAGTTAAACAGCTGGAAGGATGCAGCACTGGCACCTGCACAGGTGCTACAGAAATTGGGGTGGTGGGAAGGGGATGTCTAGCCATACAAGGATCCCATCATAGAAGAGCCATTAAAGCAGAAGAACCTCTGGCTACAGGTTCACTTTATTTACATATTTATAAGAGCCTTCCCCAACCGGGCACCCCAGATGTGCTGGACTATAACCCATTATGGCTGGCTGGGGAGCAGCTGAAATTTTAGCCTGGCATATCTGGAAGTCACCTAGTTGGGCAACCCTGGCTTATAGCCTCGGTCATGTTTGATGCTTCCTAACTCTCATACCTGCTGGAAAGTGCTGATCTGTGTCTTCTCTTCTCTTCTCTTCTCCCTCTTCCACGCTTCCTTGCATAACAGATGCCTTGTCTTTCCCTTTTCACGGATCAGGACGAAGTGGCCGTGGAGTCTCCCAACCCCCAAAGGAACAAAATGGACAAACTAATTGAAATTCTCAACAGCATGCGAAAGAACAGCAGTGGGGTGGACTCCAAGCTCGCCAGCTTCATGGAGGAGGCCCAAAACTCCGCCAACTCCGAGGAGATGCTCGGGGAGATTGTCAAAACCATTTACCAGAAGGCCGTGACGGACCGCAGCTTTGCCTCTACGGCGGCCAAGCTCTGTGACAAGATGGCGCTCTTCATGGTGGAAGGCACCAAATTCCGGAGCCTCCTTCTCAACATGCTACAGGTAACCAGATAAATTGCGCAGCTGCTGATGGCAAGCCGTCACTCACAGACGTTCTGACCATGTCTGAGCTCTCGCGCATTCCATTCTCACCCAATTAATTTTAGAAAAATAAAAGCGTAAATGAGGAGGAGGAAGGAGCTGGGGAAACATTTGTGTTTGTTTACGTGAGTGTGCCATGGTTACAATGGACTGATATAATTTTATAGACACTGTCCACCCGCTGTTCTATTTTAAATGTTCGCTATAGCAAGCACTCTCTTTCCCCAAGCTACAGCGCACCTCGGTTTTAGTTCAGCAGGGTCTATAAATGCTTCAGGGTTGTTCTTGGGTTTTATGCTGGGCAGCTCCCTCTCTGGTCTTTGGAAATGCAAAGCATAATGGGCAACCTTTCCTTTCCTCTCCCCCACCTCTGTGTTGTTGTTGTCTCGAAAATCTGCCATGGTCACAAAGGCTGTATTTGTATACAGTTTTGCATCATATTTGCATGGATGTGGGTGTCAGCCCAGTAACATGAGTAGACTAAGAAGGCAGAAGGGCAGACCTCACTCAGGACCCAAGGACAGGAAGAACTGTGAAATGTTGGTACGGCGCACACGGGGAAATGCAGGATGCTTTGGAGGGTTCCGTTTTGTAGACATTGCTTTAAAACAATCAACCAACTCTTTAGATTTGCCCATATCATGTGAACAGACAGCGACGCTTTTGTGCTCCTTCTACCAGGCCATCTGTGCAGTGTCCAGAAGGAGACTTAAATGTGGCAGATAAAACAAGTGTATATATATCTCCACGGGTCAGTTTGGCACTACCACAGGCTCGGTTTCCACTGCAGAAAGAGCTGGCCACAGAGATAATGCTGTGGGGTAGCAAAGCTTGCAGTCTGCCCTCCATGACCTCCCAGGTGTCTGGGATGCATGCATAAAAGTCATTGAGCCAGCCGTCACCCTTGTCCACACCACAGGGACACGACGCATGTCTCTAATGGAAGTTTGGAAGCTTGACAAAGTGGGAGCTATTTAGCAGATAATAATGCGAACAGTTCGTATCGCTTTACATGGTGGCCCCCTCTAAGGGAGGAAAGCAGCCTCTTCTGCGTGAACCGTTCTTTGAGAAGGAGCTGAGCACAGGTTCCCAGCTGTGTGTTGCCCCAGTTGTTGGGCACACAAGTTTTCGCTAGTGCCACTCCCTGACCTCGGGCTGCTCTCCCTCTGGAGTCGTGCCTGATCCCTCCCTCGTCCTTCAGGGAGGAAGCCAAGCATTTTTTTTAACATGGCTTTTTACACTGGGGCGTGCGGGCAGTTGCAGGACATTTTCTGTCCGTGCATGCATAGGATTACACCCCAAGCAACGGGGAAGGGAGGACAGTTCGAATCTGCCAAGGGTTTTATACACTTTCCTCGTGGGCAGATTCCCCAAGCGCTTTGATGCAGCAGAGAGAACTAGTTAAAAGTTCATTCGGCCAGTAAACACACACAGAGCGCTTTGCATTGTTCATTGCCATTGTTTCAGTCTCGTCCAGCAAACAGCCGGAGTTGGAGCTTAGCTGCTGGGAATGACCGGAATGGCATGGCATGTGGGTGGCCACACTTAACAAGCCCAGACAAAAATGGCTCGTGTCCTTATGGGCTATTCCTGATTATTATGGGTGGCCTGGTTTAGCAGGGCCTGTGGGCCTGGCGTGGAAGCACCTGCAGTATTAACCCGGGCTTTTCTTTGGTTGGTCTTGGCCTCGCATCTCCTGCAGCTTCACTTCAACTTAATTAAGGGGTGCACAGCACTTAAAGGAAGGTTAGGGGTGCATGGAAATGAACCACGCAAATTAAGAAACTGAATTGCAAGAACAAACTCATTGCTTAGGGCAGGAGTATGCAGAAGACAGATTATTATTAATTGCATTTCTATGCCACCCATAGTCAAAGCTCTCTAGGCAGTGTGCAACAAAATATAAAAACAATAAAATCCAACAGAGAACAGAGTAAGAATTTAACATTAATTTTGAAAGAACATAAAAACACTAAAGACAATTAAAAAGAACTGGCCAAGAGTAAAAGGCACCAGTAAAAGACCTCCAGATGTTTTGGACTTCCAGGACCCAGAAGCTCCTGCCAGCATGGTAACCATCAGGCATGTTCAGCACTAAAGTCCCAAACATCTTACAATCTCGTTTCTTCCCATTCCTGTCTGAGGGAGCCTCCATGTACAGGTGCAGTAGACCTTTACTGACCAGATGCTGGAGGTGCTCAGCGCCTTCAAACCTTGCTTCTGAATGTCTGCAGCAGCCTTCCTCAACTCAGCGCCCTCTCCCCAGCTTCGGTTCCACCTCCCAGCAGTCTGTTGTCCCTGCTGGCTGGGACTGAGGGACATTAGTACCCCATATTGCTCTGGGGCTCCAAGCTGGGGAAGCTGCTCTAAACCCTTTGGACAGCTGCTTTTGCAAACAAATCGCAGCATCAGAGAGCCCCTTGTTCAAACCCAGCAGGCTGTTATTGCTTGGTTCCACTTGCCATAGCCGTGTCCCTTCTTCCAGTCAGTCTTCAGCTGAGCCCTTCCCAAAGCAGCAGCTCTGTTTCCCTCCTGAGTTGCAGGCTCCACCTTGAACACCCTGCCCTATTGGGTCACCGCTTGCTCCCCATGACCCCCACTTCTGCAGCAAGAAAGGCTGCTGTGTCTGGATCCCTGCGATTCCCCCTGGGCTGACTGGGAATGACGGGAGATGCAGTCCAGCGCATCTGGAGGGCGTCAGGTTGCAGAGGGTTGGAGTGGATGCTCCGTTCCCAGGAAGAGCCCATCACAAAAGTGTTCTTTTTGTGTCAAGACTGATAGTGCTAACAGCTGCGGTCCTGTAACCGTGTGGCACAGAAGGCAGGCAGGGGAGGCCTGGCCTTGAATTCTTGCCCACTAGCGGCCTTGGGGAAGTCTTTGTTTCTCCCAGCAGTGCTGTTGTGAAGTCAACAAGAGACCAGAGCCTCCTGTAATGTGTGCCATAAAGTGGCAGAGAAATCCTTGTATGTATATGTAACTGATTTAGTATTAGTATTAGCATTAGTGCATTGCATTGATACCCCACCTTTCTTCCCCTTGCAAGGAACCCAAGAGAGCTTACAAGGCTCCTCTGCTCCATTTTATTCCCACAACAACACCCCACAACAACAACTTCTTGTTGTGAGTCGCCCCGAGGCTTCGGCGGATGGGACGGCATAGAAGCTTTCTAAATAAATAAATAATCCTGTAAGGTAGGCCAGGCCAAGCCTCTGTAACTGGCTCCATGTCACTCACTGGGGACTTAGGACTACAAGCCAGGAGTCCTGAGTGCCAGTCCAGCACTGCACCACGGCAAGTTGCCAAGTTTGAGAAGCCGACAGGGACTCCTTCTGAGTCAAAGTCAGGCAGCAGGGGTGGAAAACGGAAGGGGCAGATCAGAATGCCAGTATATTCCAGCATGAGCTCTCAGGACCAATGACTAAGACTTAGGAGAAGCATTCCAAAAATTTGGAATTTGGGTGTGGGAGCCAGGAAGTCACCAAACGAGTGGCGGTCAGGGAAAGGGTGCGGTGGCGGGACTGCAGCCATCCGGAGAGCACCGGGTTGGCAGAGGGGCTCCCCAGGGAGGCCAGATCCATCCTGCATGCTCCAGCTTCAGCACTCCCACTCAGGGGTGCAGAGTCTTGTCACAAGCAGGGGAAGGAGGGCTGCAGAGCCGTGTGCCCCCATTGCACAAAAACCAGGTTCCAGTCCGCGAACACGTGTGAAGCGAAGAGGTGGTGAGCGGGAAGAAGCTGCGAGGGAGCTGCTCTGTGGAATTCAAGGCTGCGAGGGTTAAACTCGCGCCTCCCTCCAAAGGCACACGCTGTGAGGGATTACAGGACAGAGGCCAACTTCAGGGTAAAGCCGTTACTGAGCCCTGGGTGTATTATCCCAAAGGGTGAAGGACCTCGTTAGCCCGCTGTTGCCAGACTGTACCAGGGTGTGATAAATAGGGATAACCATCTTTCCTCATTACCTCTAAACCTGCTGGATCTTCATCCAGCCATCACACAGCAACCGTGGGGCAGAGCCCCTCGCATATGGGCCCAACAGATGTTCATGTTTTTACGGAAGCCCTGCAGGTTTGCCTGGCTGCTCTCGAGAACAGGTTGCTGCAGATGGCTTAGGCAGGCCGGCAGCAGCCCGTTGCAAAGCAAGCTGCAGCAGAGGGTCGGTCAGATTAGAGGCAGACAGTCCTGTGCCATCTTGGCCAGGTCACCACGGGGCTCTCCTGCCGCTTGCCAAACACATCGGCTGCGGGGCTTCGCATCCTGGCCCCACAGACGCGTGGCAGCCATTGTCCCACTCTGTTTTTGCAGGCAGCAAAAGCAGGGGGCTTACGGAGACATTAGGTGCCATCAAGTCCTCTCTGCCTTATGGCAACTCTGAGAAAGAAAGTCCCCCAAAGGAGCCTGCCCTTCACAGCCCTGCTCAGCTCTCCTAAGTGCAAGGCTGTGGCTTCCTTTGTGGAGTCCATCTGCCTCATATTCGGTCTTTCATTAATCCATGCTAAACATTAATTTAGCAGCTCTCAGGTTGTGCAGGCCTGTTCTACACTTTGGCTGGTCAATGAAAACAGCCAGTGGGCCTCGAACCTCCCTTTGGGGATCCGTCATCTCCGCACCCAAATGCCAGCCCGCCTCCTTGGCAGCATCCGATGAAGGAAATGCATTCCGTGTGCCCGGGGCCCATCCCGTTCATTGGCTGAAGAGCAGGGCAGGGATGCCACAAAAACACGTGTCTTTTCCTGGGACTCACCACAGAGATGTAGGAAGCCCACCTCTCAGTGTCTGGCTAGAACCCGGACAGCCAGCGGACTGCCAGTTTTGCAATCCCAAAGCCTTTCAGGACGAGCTGCCCTTCTCCTGCCTTACTGAGACTTAGATGTGGCAAAGAGCAAAGGCCCTTTGGGGCTGGTGATGGGGCAGATGGAGCTCCCCCGCTTCCAGCACTGCTCTGGCCATCCCAGCAGCTCGCCT